ACTCGGTAGAGTCAGAGCAATGTGTCATAACACCATCTTCAACTGTATGATCTGCATGCCACCTCATTTCTTTGGCCGTAGCATTGGAGGCATACAACCTTTTTAGTCTGTCTGCTAGCGGGAAATAATACATCTTTTTGTATGCCACGTTTTTCCCTCCACCCGACCTCTGGAATCGACCGTGACCACAAAATTTACAGCTCGTAGCATCCGCATCATCCTCCCAATACAACATACAACCATTATTGCAACAATCAATTTTTTCAACCGGTAAACCCATTCCCCGCAACAACTTCTTGGTTTTGTAGAAATTCTCGGGTACTGTATTATCATAAGGGAGAACTTCACTCACAAGTTGCATCATGTCATCATAGTTTCGTTCAGACATGTGATGCTCGGCTTTCATGTGCATCGCTCGGGCAACAAATGATAATTGCGAGTGTGTTGTGCAACCGGGCCATAACTCTTTGTCAACAGCATTTAGCATGTCGTAAAATCTCTTTGAATCAGGATTTGGAGGTTCTTCTTGAGAATTTGGATGAAATTCAGGACCAACGGCATCCATAACCATTGTGTGGTAATTCATTGTCGTTTCCACATTTCCATCGCAATGAACGGGGGGTGGGCTATCATTTGCATGAATGTATGACTCTCCATGTCTATCCCAAATATAGTAATCTCGTACAAAGCCATATCGAGCAAGGTGATACTTAACGTCATCAGTTTTAAGATACTTGCGATTTTTACAGTTAGTGCAAGGACAACGAATTTTGTCCCCATCCATCCATTCTACTTGAGCGCAAGCAAAGTCAATAAAGGACTCTAGTCCTTCTAAGAACTCTCTAGTTAAAGCCCAATTTTTAAATCGATTATACATCCACACACGTTTCTCGTTCATTTTTATTCCTTGATGTTTTTCACCTATTGTTCAAGAAAAGCATAGGTGTGATGGTAGTTGAAAAATAGAGGTATTTATATGTCAAAGACAACAAAATCGAGTAATCAAATATGTAATACAAACACAATTGAATAATTTAGATAGACATGATACGAGAAGAGAGCTTCAGGAGTAGTCCAAAATGATAATAAAACCACCCCAGCTTGCTGCTGGAGCATTCTAATTGCTATTCAAATGAATAAATAAGCATAAGTAGCAAATAAAATGAATAAGTAGGCCACTGCTACTACAAATCAACTAAAAACACCACAAGCAACTGCAAATCAATTGAAAAAAAAAAAGAAAAAAAAAATATAATACAAATGAATAAACCAAGTCCTTTCATTCAAATTAAATCCAAACAAATCAAAATCAACTCATCATTCATCAAGTTCAGAATTCACATCATAATCACAACATTGATTCAATTCAATTCACAAAATCACAATTCACAGTCACTGAAAAATATACACAAATAAACCCCATGGAATAGATAGAACAAAGAATCAAAGAGGTCCAAATTCAGCATCGTTACCCTTTACCGAAATGGAGTCGTTGCTGGCGCCGCTCGGAGACAATCCCGCTGCCCCTTTCCGCTAGTCGCGCCGCTGCCCCTTTTCGCTAGTTGCGCCGCTCGGAGGTCTCGTTGCTGCCAGTCGCCACTCGAGCCGAGGTCCCAGCGGTCGAAGGTCTCGTCGTCGGTCCAAGGTTGCCGCTGCCAGGAAGTTTAGAGAGACGTATGATAGGAGATGAGAGAGTAGGGTTTACAAAATTAATGAGAATAAGAATATGAATTAGCCTGTTCTGTTCTCTACTTCTCTGTACTTGTTCATTTAGTTTTTTTTTGTTTTAAAACTATATATATTTGTTTTGTTAGTTTTATTTGTTCATTTAGTTTTATTTAGTTTTATTTGTTTTATTAAGTGGTATTGTTTGTACTGGATGTTGGAGCTCATTGCTCTAGTTTTGTTTATTTTCTATATATATAGAATCTGCCGCTTTTCAAAAAAAAAAATGTGTTTTAATTTTTTAATTTTAGTAGTTAATGACTTAATTTTAATGAAAAAAATATTAAAAATCATAGATTAGGGAGAAACATAAAACATTTGATAATGAGATTGAAGGGAAAATTCTACTGTAGGGCCTCATTTTTAGGTATTATGTCATAATAGGGCCTATATTTTTAACCTTTTCATTTGAGGGTTTCATTTTTAAATTATTCTCAATATAAGACATACTTTTACATTCTACTTTTCAATTTAAGTCTCTAAA